AGCTGTGGCAGTTGTTGCTGCAGTTGCTGCTGTTGCTGCTGCTATTTCTGTTGCTTCAACGCTACTTGCTGCATCTGGAAGCTCCGAGTAGCTGGCTCTGCAGCGACAAATTTGCTGCTTTTCATCGCCCTGCTGCTGCTGCTGCTGCTGCTGCTGCTGCTGGGTAGTTGTGCAATGCTCTTGTGCTTCAAGCATCTGCATTTGCTGCCGTTGCATCTTCCTGACCTTTTCGTGTTTCTGCTGTATGTGCTGCTGCAGCTGCTGCTTCCAAATGTCTCTTTCGCTGCTGATTACTTCTACGTAGAGCTGCAGCTGCTGGTTGGACTGCCGCAGCTCATCTGCTGCTGCTGCTGCTGCAGCTGCCGCTGCACGTTGCTCCCGCTGCGCTGCAGTAGCAGCGTTGAACTGCACCTGCATTGATACATTTCGTGACAAAGAGCAAAGCAGCTTTTTCTCAGCGGTTGCTGCTGCAGCTTCTGCTGCTGCTGCTGCTGCTGCTTTTTCGGCTGCCTGCTGCTGCAGCTCCTTCAAAGCAGCTTCCTTAGCTGCTAGAAGCTGCGTCTTAACTATGAGAGAAGCCGTAGCTTCACCTAATCTCCGCTGCAGCTCCCAGCAGCTGGACCGGCAGCTGCAGCAGCACTTGCTGCGGCGGCTGCTGCTGCAGCAGCAGCCGTCTTTTTTGCGAACAAGAGCAAGGGATTCCTCAATGGTCCGGAACTGTTGTTGCTGCTGCTGCTGCTGCTGCTGTTGCTGCTGCTGGTCACGTGCTGACTGAGTAGTTAGGCAATAGTAATCTGAACTAGGCAAACGCACTCCGTCCCGGGCCTGTTGGCAGTCCCTGTCTGGCATGGCCTTTCCAGCAGCAACATCGTACGCTGCTGTTGCTGCCGTAGCTTCTGCTGCTGCTGCTGCTGCTGCTGCTGTTTCAGCTGGACTCTCTAGAGAGTCCATCAGTTGCTGAATCTCAGCAGGGACCTCCAGCGCGCAAAAAGCTCGAGGAGCAATTTGCCGCTGCGTTTGCTGCTGCTCAGCTGCATTGGGAAACGCGGACTTCGGAGAGCTGCTGCCATCCTCGCTGCTGCAGCTGCTGCAGCTGCTGCAGCTGCTGCAGCTGCTGCTGCTGCGCGCGTGTGTGTGCTGTCGCGCGCTGCCCCGGTTGCGCCTGCCGTGGTGCATCTTTGCTGCTGATGCTGCATGTCTTCGCTGCAAAGAAGAAAGGAAGCGGAGGCACTTTTGAGTTGAAACAACTTGAGTCTTCACCTGCTGCTCGCGCTGCTGCGCGGCCTCGAGGCGGCGGGAGAGGTCAGCACACTGCGCAGCAGCAGCTCGAGCAGCAGCAGCAGATTGCTGCTGCTGCTCCTCTAGCCGTAAAAGTAGTCGCTTCACGCGTTCTTGGGCTGCTGCTGCTTCGGCTGCTGCTGCTGTTGCCGCTGCGTCCGCTGCATCAGCTTTGCGCTGAAGCAACTCCTGCTGCTGCTCGTGCTGCACTTGTGCAGCAGCAAACGCAATCTTAAGAGCCTGTAATTCTTCTTGCTGCCTCTCTGCTGCTTCGTGTTGCTTCTGCAGCTCATCCAAGCAGCTTTTCTGCTCCGTCTGTACCGACTTGCAGCAGCTGTTGCTGCTCTTGACGTAGCTGCTGATGCTCCTGCTGTTGCTGCTGCTGCACACTTGAATATCTGTCTGATCCACGCGCAACTTATTAAGAATTTCTTTCTGCTGCTTGAAAGGGTACATTTCCTCTAAAAAGGATTCTAATGTGTCATCTTCGCTGCTGTTCACAAAAAGCTGCTTTTCATCTGCTGTCAGTTCGGTAGGCAGCAGCGACTCTCCACGAAGCAGCTGCTGCGGCTCTTGCTGCTGCGGGGGCTCCTGCTGATGCAGCAGCTGTGGCTGAGGCTGTTGCTGCTGCTGCTCCTGCTGCTGCTGCTGCGGCCCACGCTGCATGTGTGACTGCTCTGGCCGATGTTGTGGCTGTTGCTGTGGCTGAGGCTGTGGCTGCTGCGGTGGCTGTTGCTGCGCGTGTGGCTGTGGCTGGGGCTCTGAATGCGGCTGCTGCTGCTGGTGTTGCTGCTGACTTAGCAGCTGCTGCTCAGCTAGACCCTGAGATCCTCTTTCTTGTGCTAGGAGTCGTTGCTGACGTTGCCAGTCTGCAGTGACGTGGATTTGAGTCTGTGTTTGCTGCTGTTGTTGCTGCTGCTGCTGCTGCAGAGCCTGACGTGCATTTTGCTGCATCTCTCCAAGCAGCTCGAGGGCTTCAATTTCCTCTCTGCTGCGCTGCAGGGCCTCCTGCAGCAGCAAATTTTCCGCTTGAAGGCGTGCCACCGCTGCTGAGGCTGCTGTTGCTTCTGTTTCTGCAGCAGTTTGCGTTGTTTTTGCATTCAATGTGGCACTAACTGCTGCAGTTGGTGAAGCAGTAGCTGCTGGGGTTTGTGCTTGCTGCTGCTGTGCATGCGGTGGCTGCCTCACGCTCGACCCTGTTGTGGACCCTTCAGCAGCAGCAGTGGTGCTTCCCTCTTCTGAAAGCCTTTCTGTGGGCTCTTGAATTTTGCTGTGGCTCGTTGCGCCTTTTGCTGCAGCATTTCCGCCAGTGGCCTGGTGGTCTCTGACCCCTGTGGCTTCCTTACCATTTGCAGTGCCCTTTGCAGGCCCATCTAACCTGCTGCTGTGTGGGTCAAGAGAGGAAGCAGCGGAGGAGAGCGTGTCAAGGGTTAGCAGTTCCAGCGGAGGAGCTTTTCTGCTGCTGCTGCTGCTACTACTACTACTGCTGCTGCTGCTGCTGCTGTTGCAGTTGCCGTTGCTGCAGCGATCTGGAGAGTGTTGCCTCGAACGTGAAGATGGAACGGAAAGAGAAGGCAGCGCGCGTGAGCGCCTGGGGCTTTCTAGGCGAAGCCGCCAGGCCCGCAGTGCTGGGCTGACTGGTGTTTGCTGCTGCGGCTGTTGCGTCTGGTGAGACGAAGTGAAAAGAGGGGAAGGGTCCCAAGAGGAAGCAGCAGAGGACCAGCTGTGCTGCTGTCCTTCTGCAGAAACTGAAGAAACTGGCCCTTTCAAAGGCATGCAGCAAGATGGTGTGGCGCTGTCGCTCCTTTCCCGCCTCGCACACGCAGGCCTACGGCCAACACAGCAGCGGCCGCCTGAAGAGGCGGAGCGAACAGCAGCAGGAAAGCGGCAGCTGCTTAGGGGCACGGCTTCGGGCCAGGTCGCTGGCTGCTGGCTGCTGGAGAGTTCAGGAAACGTCGAGGCATCTGCCCGCCTTGTGCCTGAGATTGTTGGTTCTTTCGGTAGTAACTCATGAGAAATAATAACTGGGAGCTTTAGACTGCACTTTAAGGCTCTTATAGCTATGCTTTCCTGCAAAACGCGAGCTGATCCTGGGCCGGCAGGTGAGGCTTCGCCCGCGCTGCTACCCCCAGGCAGCAGTCGAGTGATCACTGGTATGAACACTGAGCCACCAGGGGGCAGTTTGAGCTTTTCCTTATGAACAAATATCAGTGACGGATTGGATGCAGTGACAGAGAGCGTTTCCTCTGTGTCGCTTCTGTTTGTCAAACGCACGTGGCGGCGGAGCCACTCCCCGGGCTGGCAGCCCTCGAAGACCAAAGGGAAAGGCCACACTTCAATAGGCCCATCCTTTCGTATTCCTTCTTGTGGTAAAGAAGCGGGGGCTTCGGAACCGCTAAGGGAAGGCTCGCAGACTGAGGGGTGGCAGGGCTCGTAGGACGCCTCGGAGCTTCCCTGTGTTGCATTTTCCGCATTTTTAATTCCACCAGAACTGCGGCCCATTAGACAGTTCTACTCGTTAAAAAGTTTGCCCAGCTTGTTAACAATGTCAAAGAAGGACGGGGACTCTCAGTTGCCAAACAGAGGATCGCAACCCGCATGCCCTACAGGGTCACTTCGAGGCGCACACGAGGGTAACTGGTAGCGAAACACTCAGTTTTACAACACAAACAAGCAGTTCAAATATCGCAAAACATTCATTCTCGTGGCTACGGCGTTTCTGAAATTTTCCCTACATATTTTTCAGCCTTTTGTGCTGTACGTGTCAACTGCGTTGGCATCGCCGGAGCTCATCAATAACGGCAAACGCCCACAAAACAACAGTGATCTTCTAATTTACTCTTCTATAAAATCGAAAATCCTCCAATAAAGTTCCCCAGAATCATATATTTCAGTGAACTCGTCCGCAAGTGGCGCAGGCCGGCCGCCCAAGACTCCACTGGTGCCTCTGACGCATGCGGCTTGCTCAGCCTTCCAACGCTCTGGGCGAGCGAATCTCTGGCCTTAAATGCATTTTTTAATATTTCATTGCCAGCACTATGACAAACATAAGATGGCTTTTCGAAGCATCTTTCGGACTTGTCCTGTTTTGCGGGCGTCTCCTCACCGCCCCGCGTCTCCTTGCCAGCTGCCGAAACGGCTTTCATACTTTTTTGTGACAATAAGCATCATCAAAACTGACTTGATTTCTGTATTGACAGACTAAAAGTCCGTCTCACCGATCCTTTTCCCCTCATTTGGAAAGCCATCAGAGCTCAATACAAAGCCACCAACCCACAGTGCTGCAGTGATGGTCAGAGTAAACGGCAGCCGCTAATGGGAGTGGACAAAGCAGGACACGCAAGCAAACACAGAGAGGAAATGCAAAAACAAAGAAGCGATAGATATGAGAGAAGGAGGAAAGGTGTACAATGCGGCACACACAAGCAAATAATTGTACCCAAGAAAGAAAATATAAAGGAAATTGAGGTTTGTGAACCGAAGTGTTCAAAGAGTGAAAAATCTGCTTGCCTTTTGCGCAGCATAACTGCATTGTTGCCTCTTGTTGTCTTGTTCAAGCGCAAACAATGCGAACATTATTAGATGGCTGACTAGCCATTAAAAGGCGATAAAAAAAGAGGTGAATAAGGAGAACCAGAAAGCTTTTGTCCCCCACTTGTGCATATTTGCATGCATGTATTCATGCCTGGTAGCCTTTGTTTACTTTGGAGTCTAATTCAGATTTACTTAGTCAGTGGAAATACGGTGCCAAAAAGGAAGTGCTGCACGATGGGCAGTTTACATAAAACCTCGCCCTCGTACATGCGGATTAAACCCGCGCAGATCTTTTTCCTGAGACAAAATTATTCACAAACAGGCAAATGGAAATATATATGCAAATAACGAACAGGTCTATGTATGTGCATATGAAAGGTACTGAGAAACCCTTATCTTTGAGGCCTGATGCAGCAGTACATGAAGACAAAACTGGACCAAATGCAAGCCCTGAAACTATATTTAGAAATGAGCCAACACCGGTTTATTTCTTATCCTGCTGCATCAAGGTTTGGCAATTGTGTGTGCCCGTGTATGCATTTGCACTGGAAATAGCAATTATGTTCATTTCTTCATATAGTGCGTTGCTGCAACACCTTCAGAATATTCATGTGAAACACATATACTTGAGTACAGAGGCCTAAATATAAACATATAACAGTATAAAAACAAAAGTAAAATATGTTTGTTAGGGACAAAAACTTCAGATTTCCGTGCATTCATCGAGGTGTCTTGGCTCATCACTCACCAGCTGCTGATGCCGCTGACGTCGTACAGGATGGGCGAACACTCGAAAAAGGGAGCTCCCTTCTTTGTCTACAAAAAACAAAAGTGACAAAATGATAAAAGTAATGATATGAAGAATAATTCTTAAGATTGGGTGCATGCACTCCCAAATGCAGCAAAGTTGCCTACGGGCACAAAAGGGTTCACTGCTGCAATACCCAAGCACCGGCTTGGGTGTCGCAGCAGTGAATTCTTTTGTTCACTTCCTTTACTCCCCTGCTGCTGCCTCTCACCTGCAGCACGTATTGTATGGAGTCAAAATACAACAAATCCGGGGCGAGTTGCTGGACCAAGTCTCGCTCAGTTATCTGCAGAGACAACAATGCAAATCTCCTTGTGATGGCGCAACTGAGTAAAAGCAGGCACTGTGATTTACAATTTATAGGTCTTATCGACAATAAATAGGGTTCTCACCTGATCCGGCTCTATGATCTGCTGCTCAGACAGCTGGCCGGCGCCCCAGAGAAAAGTCAGGAAGTGGAAATCATCCAAACCCCAAACGCCTCTGCTTCCAGCGGCCTCCAGCATGTAGCGCTGCTGCAGGGCATGAGCCACCTCTACATACCTGCGCGCAGGCAATAAGAGTTTGTTTCAACAACACAAAAGACGCATTGAGCAGAGCAGCAGTCCTGCAGTCAAGAAAAATCGGCAAGCGAGTACCACAAAACGCAGCAACACAACTTCGAAACAGAGAAAAAAAGGAAATTAGGTCCAACTACAAGCAGCAGGCATCTACGTCCAGCAAGGAAGCAAGTAAGTTGATGCGAGGAAGGCCCAACACGGCCGGGACAGAATGAAAATGAGACACATGGCGCATTCAGACAGAGACAGAGGGTGGTCAGTAAAGATAGAAAGACAAGGGAATGCATGCATAAAACTGATTCAGAAAGAGATGGAGAGTGGTCAACATAGAAAGGCAATGAAAAATGTACATAAAGCGGCAAAAAGAGCTGGCCAGAACGAACCCTTTGAATATGCCTAAGACGGCGAAGGGGTCGTGGGTATCTTCCTCGAGCAACTTTAATTTAAATAGGCAAAAAAGAAAGATAGCAAACGAGCACTCGTGTCCAGTCCCGAAGTCCAGACGAACTGGATTTCCAAAAGAGGAGCAGAATATATCTGTCAATTCCATTTTCGCAGTTTCTGATATTTCAGTTCCGCTCGAAGTCCACACGGGCGCCAGCAAATCCAAAGCCTCCTGAAACACGGATTCACTCTGCATAAAGCAGTGACTTAAATGCCTAATTCATTCTAGAATTGCAGAGTCAGTTTATGTTCGCAATTCTGTCGAAGCTCTCGCCCCCATTTCAAGCGCTGTTACTTCATTCGAGAGCGAATCCCGATTTCAATATAAGTGGAATGCAGCAGAGTCGGTTTTCCGCTCCAGCGCAATTATTTCCTTGAAATTGAATACGGAAATACACATATTAGACCTTTTGTGAGAATTTAAACCTTAATTTCTGCGGGAATCTGTTAAAGACCGCCAGTTTACCGAAGTGGCGTGGCTAACTGGCCGCGCTGCGTTTCATTATGTGTGTTTGTAGTTCATTGAGTGCGCAGCGCCGCGAGCCCCAAACTTAATCCCTTTTCAACTAAGACCACAAAAGCTTTCTGCAGCAGTCAGTAAGGCTTCCTGGCCTCACCTCCTCGAGCTTTCTGCACCAAGTTTTGAAAGCCTGATTGCCGAAACGCGTGGGCTGTTCGACGGGGGGTATGTCTTGCACCCACTGCAGCAGCTGCTGCAGCACTCGCAGCATTGCCCAGCAGACGTTGTTGGCCGGGAGTTCTCCGAAGGGCACAAAAGTGCGAATTCGAGACCCCAAGCCGTCGCAGGCCGAGGCAGCAGGCGCAGCAGCTGAAGCCCCCGCAGCCTGCGCCTGAGACGCAGCCCCTGAGGCAGCCACTGCTGGTTCTGTTATCTTTCGACTTGCCACATCTGCGCGCAGCAAACTGGGCAGCGACTTCTTCCCCGCCGCGTGCTTCGCCAGCCGCCCCACGAAAGCCAGAAACTGCGAATGCGTCGAAGAGGAAAGCCAGCGGCGCAAGTCGGAGTCCGAACGAATGGCTTTGCTGGTGGCTCGCAGCCGCCAGTCGCCGCTGCCCTGCTGCTGCGGCTGCTCGAGCGCGAGAGGGTGGACGCAGCAAAACGCATCGGGCACTGGGGGGCGGCCTCCCAGGGCCACGGGGACCCCAGGGGCCCCAGGAGCCCGGGGGGCCCCTGAAATGCCGGGGGGCCCCCCGTCGTCGGGGCGAAGGGCTGAGAAACCGCGCGCGTCGAAAGGGTGGGCTCTGTCATGAGGCTGCATTGCTCTTTCGGTTTGCAGAGGCCCCCTGCTGTTCGGGAAGCTTTGCTGCAGGCAGTGCGTGGAAATTGGGATATACGAAGGACTTGACGTATTGCTGGCCGCGTCGGATCTTCTTGTCAGGCGAGAAAGTAAACGAAGGTCAATCAGTCAGCGCGCGCTAAACGCTAAGCAGCCTTTTTGCTTCCAAAGAAGATAGGAGGCACCCGCGGAATGCGAGCCTCTCGCCAGCTTATTACCTCTCTAAAAGGCAAAAGAACCTCAGTTCTACACTGAAATACGTCGGCTTCATGCGAGACACTGCCGGGAAGAAACCGCAAACTAGCCTCCGCAGGAGCTCTGATGACTCGAAAGCCGCAAGACTGGTGCAAGATTCTTTTAGTTACACAATACTAACCGTCAAATCCCACGTTCGTTCTTACTGATACTCATTATGCTGTGTACACACGGTCCTTTGCGTTCAGCCTGAGAGGTTGGGGGCCCCCGTTCGCTTGATGACCCACCAAAGAAAAGCCCCAGAAGATCTTTTCTTCTTGATAAAATCCCCCTTAGAACTGTCTAAAAATATATATCTTGTCTTTCATGTCACTGTGTTGGTCTTCTACGAAGTTCTTGTGTCATTTTCCCCGCGAGCCCGTCACTCTCGCTTCTCCATGGGTCGTTAATATATGCATGACTGTGCCAGCCTCTCTGCTGTGACAACCCGCCCCTCTCTTCATATTTTTCTCCCTAATTTTCTGCAGTTTAAAGCTTCAGGTTTCCATTCGAATTATCTGTGGACGCAGCAGAGAGCAGAGCAGGCAATGGTCACTTCGCGGAACAGACATTAGAGCAACCAAGACAAAGGTGCTCAAATCGCACAGGAACTGAGCCGCCATAGTTCAAGCTTCCCTTTAAATGCCTGCTCTATTTACAGCTAAACAGATATATAGACACCAAACGAGAGTTGCGCACTAACACATTCACGATTTCCTTCCCTAGTGAGACCAGCACGTCAAGTGTAGGGCTTCGTCCATACATAACTGTCAGCTTCCCTGCATCGTTTGTAAGGGTTTTGCGCTGTACAAGCACCTTAGTGTGCCATGAAACTCAGTATTATTGGGACGCACTAAGTAGACTTGGTTGTGAGGAAGCAGTAGAGCAGCAGCAACCGGAGCAGCAGTCAGCAGCAGCTGCAGCAACAGCCGCAGCACAAGCAGCGACAAATCTGTGCAGCAACGCTAACAACACCGCCGGCTAAAAGCACCAACGGCAGCAACGGCTGCCAAGAGAAGCGTCAACTATAACTGCAGCCAGCAAGAGTAGCAGCTACGGCCGTTGTGAGGAACGGCACCTAGCAGCAAAAGCAGCAACAGCTGCTGCCAGCAGCAACAAAGACAGCAAGCAGCAGCAGCAGCAGCAGCAGCATCTGGCAAAGAATGTCGCTAGCTGTGCAGGCGCAGATCCGCCGCAACGCGGAGGAAGTGCGCGCTTATTTATCGGACTTGAAAGAATGGGAAGAGAGTTTTTCGAAAGCAGAAAAATCAAAAAAGCAGACAAAATATGAAGCTGAAGAAGTCCCACAGCAACCAGGAACGAGCGAAACCAGACAGTCTAGCGAACTGCAGCAGCGAGCGCAGCAGGAGCAACAAGAGCAGCAGCAGCAGCAGCACGAGCAGCAGCAGCAGCAAGAACAGCAGCAGCAGCAAGCTTCGAATGCGGGGGCAAACCGACGAAAATACGCAAGAGATCTCAATTCACTGCCGGAGTATTACAAGGCCTGGGATGCCTTCGACCCTGACAAGGAAGAAGAAGAGGCCCCCAAAGGATGCCCCCCAGCCAAAAGCCAGCAGAAAGCGCAGAAAGCTCACCCCGTAGGGCAAAGCCACAGGGCTCTGGAGCACATTTTATAAAGTGAAGCCCTGCTGCTGCATGCAGGGCACTCAGGCGCTGCTGGCCGCACTGAGCTGTGCTGTCTAGACACTGGGCAGCAGCCACTCTCACTTATTACAGAGCCAGTCTAACACACACACTTCTAGGGCCCCAAGCGTTTGCTGCTTTGCCTATGGGCCCAGCAGCTCTTTAGTCCATCCTTAAGCAACAAAGCACTCACACTGAGTTTGTAAAATATACTTTTGTAATGCCACTTCAACTCTATTCGTCTGTCTGCCTGCTGCTGCAGCAAGTTGCCAGGGGGGCGCGCAACGGGGCCCAGTCCTCCTCGGGGGCCCCCCGAATGCGCGTTTGCGCCTCCGTACCCTCAAGTGCGAAAGTTGGTAGCCCTGAAAAGGCCCCATTAGGGGCCCCCGAGGGGGCCTCTGGGGGCCCCTGGGGGGGCCCCCGAGCCAGTTCATCTGCTGCAGCGCCCACTGATTGGCTGGCCTATTTGGCAGCACTTAAGGAAACGGCCAACAGAAACTTCGGGGCGAAACGCTATGCAGCAGCTGTTAAGGAATATACGAAGGCGCTGCAGCTAAGTGAAGAATACTTGGCTCGGGTGAGGGAATAGAGATAAGGAAAGAGAGAGACTGACACAGATAAAGACGGAACAGCGGCAGCAGCAGACTTGGCAAAACAAATAAATATAACAAAAGAGAAAGAAATATGCGAAAGTTACTGAAAGAATAAAGCTGAGGCATTTTCAGAAATGAAAATAAAAGAGGGGCGTTTGCGCCTCCACTACAATCCCACCCAAACTAACCCAATTAAAGTCAGAAAAAAAACAGATGGCTTTTTTCTGCTGCGCTTTTGTGCTTAATTGCAGCTGGGCAGTGCCCCTGCTGCTGCTGCTGCTGCTGCTGCTGCTGCTGCTGCTGCTGCGGGCACCACAGCAAGAGAACCTGCAGCAGCAGCTGAGACCCTCATGGGCCAGTTATACGGCAACCGCGCCGCTGCGTATTTCTACTTGAAGAAATATACGGAATGCATTTCAGATTGTTCAAAGGCGCTGCAGCAAACGCCAAACTACGCAAAGCTAATTTACCGCAGAGGTGCAGCGTGGGCAGCAAAAGGCCAGCCAGAGGAAGCACTCAAAGACCTCAGTCATGCACTGCAAATAGTGAGGCAGCAGCAACAGCAGCAAAAGGAAGAGCAGTGGAAAGCCCAGCAGCAGAAGCAGCAACACGAAGAACAGCGAGAAGATCAGGGTTCGCAGCAGCAGGAAGAACAAAGCAAAGATCAGGAGCAGCAGCAGCAGCAGGAAGAACAGAGTGAAGACCAGCAGCAGCAGCAGCAGCAGCAGCAAGCTGGGGTGTGCGTTGCGGCTTCGCTGCCCGCTGCCGATGCCTTAACATCTCTGGCAGAAAAAATTGAATCTGAGATAAAAGCAATCAGAGAAAAGACAGAAATGGAGAGGAAGGAAAGAGAACAAGCGGCGAAAGACCAGCTGCTGCTTCCCCTCACAAATTCCGTTTGCCGATTTCCTGAAGAGCCACTGAGGCCTTTAGATGTTTGTGTTGTGAAATATAACTAATCTGGCAACTGCAGCAAAGGCAATGCAGCAGACAGACTCGAGAATTAGAGCTACTGAGGTGATAAAGGAGAGGCAAAAATGCCAATCACAGAAGACAGGCTCAGGCCACTGCATCTGCAGGCAAGCGCAGATCTTAAACAGTGGGTACCAGCGCAGCAGCAGCAGCTGCTGCAACAATCGCAGCAGCAGGTGCAACTGCAGCAACATGAGGAGCAGCTACAGCAGAGCGAATAACAGCAGCAGCAAAAGTATCAAAGGCAGCTGAGACACCCACCGCAAAAGCAGCAGCATCAGCAGCAGCAGCAGCAGCATCCTCAAGAGAAACGGCATCAACAACAGCAGCAGCAGAAGCAGCAGCAACGCCAGCAAACTAGGGCAAGTCTCCAAAGACTACTGGGCAGATGAAGAAACACACAGCCACACCGCAACAGGGTCCAATGCAGCAGCTGCAGCAGCAGCGGCAAAACAAAAAGGAAGTAATGCAGCAGCTGCAGCAACAGAAGCAAAACAAAAAGGCAAGTAATGCAGCAGCTGCAGCAACAGAGGCAAAACAAAAAGGCAAGTAGTAGCAGCACATACAGCGAGAAAGCGCAGCACCAGGCAAACGGACTGGCAGAACTTCGCAAAAGAAACGAAAGCAAAAGCAGCAAGTAGTGACACCAGCTGCTGCTGAGCCTCTCGAGTGGGAAGCAAGAGGGTTTGCAGCAATAAGCAAACAGAACTGTGCAAGTAATGCAGAACATGGCAGAGTCTGGAGATAGATTAGATTGAATAAGTTCAGCCGATGCTGAATGCAAAAGACTCTGTTTCAGCATGAGACAATTCCAATGCCTAAGCCTCCGTGGAGCGCTCGCCACCCGCAGAAAACTCCGAAGAAACTAATCCACAAGTTCCCCGCTGCTGCAGCCTGTGCTGCTGCTGGCGGTGCTGCTGTTGGCCGTGCTGCTGCGACTGCCTATCTGCTGCTCCTGCTTGGCTACAGCAAACTGTGCTGCAGCAAAGGCTGCTGCTGCTGAGCTTGCTTCGAGACACAGCTCCGGCCAGAGGCCTCCCGAGGCTAATAAGCCCTTTAGCGTAGACTAGCGAAGTCTGAATCTGCATTTGCTGCACCTAAAGATCTGTTCATATATTTGCTGCTGCTGCTGCGTCACTGCCATCACTTGCTGCTGCTGCTGAGGACAAGCGCCTCCCGCGCCGCTGCAGGCCCTCAGCTCAGCTGAGGGGCTCTTTTGTTTTGCAGAACTAAACAGCGGCCGAAGCCAAAGCTAAGAAGCAGCAGAGGCAAATAAGCTGCCTCTTGGCGTGGCTGCAGCTCCAGAAGGCAGCAGGGCGGCCCACAGCCGCGCATGCAGACTGCGAAGCCCACAGAGCTCGTTTGCTCTCATTCCAGTTGCCACTGGAAATAAACAAGACACAAGCAAACAAACAAACAGCAGCAGCAGCAGCAGAGCAGCAGCAGAACTCAGCAGCTGCTGCAACTTATTGTGCTAATTCACAGGAAAGCCTCCTTTATTTTGAGGCTCTGAAGCTTGAAAAGGTATTTGGCCAGGCG